GGTATTGATATGTTCAGTGCATATACTTCATGCAAGTCCTTAAAGTGTAGGTTTCAAGGTATTGTTTCAGTGTTTAAGGTCAAGACTCAAGAGACATTGTTGTGGCTTTTAAAGAAACAATGAGGCCATTAGGGTGTAATTGTTACTCAACTCGCATTAATATCACACAATTTAACGTGATGTTTGAGGCCCAGCTCAATAAGGTTTTAGCTCGAGCTTTAATGATAGCATTATAGTTACCTAACTGGCAAACAATCATTTGTTTTCAACATTTGTTTAAAGTGCAAACACTAGATAACAACCAGTCCAAACTTGCTCATAAATGTTACCTGCGTGGCTTGTAATCTGATCATTCTACCAAACAGATATGGTAATGACAACTTGCCTCTGGTTAACTTCTAATTTGTAATCCCAGGAAATCGAAAGCATGATTGCAGAAGTTGACAAGGATGGGAGCGGAGCAATTGATTTTGAAGAGTTTGAGCATATGATGACAAACAAATTTGGAGAAAGAAATACTAAAGAAGAACTCGCGAAAGCATTCAGCATTATTGATAAAGATAAAAACGTAGTTATCTTTTCTTCTCTTGCCCCCATCCCACTGTGTGTTTCTCTTCTTTTTGTCAGTAAAAATCTTCAAACTGCAGGGGAAAATATCTGCTGCAGACATTAAGAAAGTATCCAGGGATTTGGGTGAGAATCTCAGTGATGCGGAGATAAAAGTGATGATAGAGGGAGCAGATCGAGATGGTAAGTTAGACCTAGTTGGTGTTAGTTTATATTGGGGAATTAATTAGTCTTTAATTTGGTGGCTATTTTTTGCTGATTCTCTTCAATAGCAGAATAAATGACTTTTCACTGATTTGCCTCAAACCAAAAGCATTTCGTTTCAAAAAATTCAGCAGATTTACTAACCAAGACGGGACCTTAATATGAAGTGCTATGAAATGCTGTAGGTGATGGAGAGGTTACAGTAGAGGATTTCATGGCAATGATGGGAAGGACTTCCTTTGGGCATTAAGATTTATAGCTTTCTGCCTGAAACTTCATGTGCTTATACTGGCTGTGGTTTGTGTCTACAAGAGTTTTTATCATTTTTAGTCCTCCAATTATTATATTATATTGGTGACACTGACACTTGATAGTTGATACTCAATTTTAAATTTATCCTTTTATGATCTTTCAACTATCGTCTGAATGACACTTTTGGAGTTTTGATACCTATCTTTGAAATTTTCTATATTTAGCCCTTTGTATTTCATAAAAGTGACACTATTGGTCACACCGACATTTTTAATCTTTCACTTATTGTGCCAAAATCACAATTAAAGGACTAAAAGTGTCGATTTGATACCACTCAAGAGGATTAAATGTGGGGAATTTGAATTCGAGAATTGAAAATGTCTTTCGCACAATAGTCGAAGAAAAAAAAAATAAAAATGAAATCCCAACAGTGTCATTGACACAACAATTGGGGATTAAAACTGGCAAAAACTTTGCTGCAATTATGGATAGCCTGGATATGCTATGGGCGAAACTTTTAAGCAAATAACTTGAACCCTTTTTCTTATAAGGCAACCTTTGCATGGATCATGGATGTATAGCTAATCGGGTTTGCATGGATGTATAGCTAATCGGGGACGGGATTACGGGAATCGGGGACGGGTGTGTGTGAATGTGTGATACCTATCTGCATGGCTTAAGATATTAAAAAAACACTCCTGTCTCGACAGGGCGGATCCAGGAATTTGAGATGCCCTGGGCTGAATAGGAATTATACTAGGGTCAAATATGAACGGGGTGGGCTAATTGTGAAAAATGAATAAAATTACACTAAAAAAATTGAAAAATTTCTAAGTTGCCCTGGGCTTCAGTCTACCATAACCTGTACATAGACCCCTCTGTGTCTCGGGGGGGGGGGGGGGGGGGCTTGGGTTTCATTAATTACCTCTTCAATGCTACTTTACTCAAGGATACTTTATTCAAATACTCTGCAATACATTGGATTTTTTTCCCAGACATTACAAATTTTAAACTTCGTACTATAATCTCCAAAATAAACACTTCACAAACACAATTTTATATACTATAATTTCAAACTCTTATTGGCTAACAAAAATTAATTTCACTACTTAAGTATTAATAAATACTTCCGAAAAGACTCACAGTTATTTTCTTGGTAAAACGACTCACCATTATTTTGAATGCTACGTAATACGGAGTATGAAGTACATAAGAATAGGAAATTGATTTTTCAATGCTTATCAAGAGGTTAGCAAATGAGATTTCATTGTACTAATTACATACGAATAGGCTCTGTATAATAATAATAATAATAATAATAATAATAATAATAATAATAATAATAATAATAATCATGATAACAACAAAAATGATAATAACAATAACAATAATAAGAATAATAATGATGATGATGATAATGATAGTAATAATAGTAATAATAATAATAATAATAATAATAATAATAATAATAATAATAATAATAATAAGTATTATCCATTGTTCTAAAACTCGCTAGGCCGATTTTTTGGCCGACTAGGCCGATTTTTTGGCCGACTAGACCGATTCGGCCTCTACGGTTAGGGCCGCATAGGCCGATTAATCGGTCCGCCTAGGCCGATTTTTAGAACAATGGTATTATCCATGTATAGACAATCGTAAAAGAAAAGTAGAAGAGTGCAAAAAGAATATTGATCTGACTAGATTATTATATAATAAGACCACAAAATTTTCTTTACAAAAATTCAAAGTACTCCTATATCAATATCTGTTGAATTTAAAAATTTATTAGGATTCCAACCTTAAAATCCCAATAGGATTCTAATACACAGGAGTTCTAATATATGGGAACACATATATTTCTTTCATCCTTCATCATATAATCAATCCTATAAATAGTAAAAAGTAATATATGAATCACAATATACAAAAACTAGATCTTGAATGATGATTTTTGGCATGTCTTCCATGGTGCAATATTTTATATTAAAGAGATCTTAAAAAAAAATAGAGTTGATCTTTAAGCACAAGAATGATCACTCAATGAGATGTTTTTACTTGGGCTATTTTCAATCCTACTCCAGATCATATCAGATCAGATCAGACCAAATCACACCAGACCAGACAAGATCATACTTGACAGTTGTAAAATACACAGAGGCCAGACCAGTTCAAATCAGACCAGATCAGACCACAAAATTCAAATCCAATTAAAAACATCCTAATTTTTTACAAGCTACTTTTAAGAGCGCGTTTACAAAATATTATTATCATTCATATAATAAATTTAATTTTCTCTTTAATTTTAGGTATTAAATATTTAGTACGTTCAAATTTAATTTTTAGTTTTAATTCTTTAAGCACGTTTTTAAATTTAAATTATTATTATACTCTCCCTTAATTATTTTCAGCAGGTGTTCTTTATTTTGGTCATAGAGAGATATTTTTAGAATTTCAATCCAAGAAAAAGTCATTTGGTAAACGGAAAATCTCAACATTGAAGCCATCGTACACAACTTTTGTAATTCAATGCATCCTAACACTACTTTTTTTCTTCTTATTTCGTTTGAATCTAAAATTAATTCACAACATATCGACTGCAATACACACGCAACTGCTACAGTAGTCCCAACCACAATGATCGCAATTACTGCAATAGCCCTAACCCGAGTAATCACAACTCCAATCAGGGACGGATCCAGGATTCTGAGTCAAGGGGGGCGAAATTTTTCGTTAGTGTAGGGGATGAATTTTTTTTGTTAGTGTAGCGGGGTGAAATTTTATTCCCTAGTATAGCGGGGCGAATTTTTTTAACTACTGTAGGGCTATGTGGCTATTTTTATTCAAAAAATGACATTAATACATGCACATCCCGAACGACATTTAAATCTATTACATTCTCAGTTTAGACGATGACAAAGACATCAACCAATACATTTTTAATAAATTCTACATTGTTTAACCTCATGAATCGGTTATTGAATTGTAATTTTTGTCCACCAAGGAGGGTGTTCGTGAGTCATGACTCATGAGAAGTTTTCTTAATATTACAATAGTAGTATACTAATATGTATGAGATTGTTATTTTTAGAATAATATGCACCACATACACACACACATATATATATGGTGCATATTATATTTTAATATTTTTATTAATTCTATAATAATTTAGAGTTTATTATCCATGCAATAAATTATTTTTAGAAAGCTAGAAGTAAATGAATTATGTAATCTAATGTCTATAAATATTTATATTTTGGATTCATTTCACGTGATCTAAAAACTGTGTAATAAGTGTGTCTGGTATTTAATATTGTTTGATATATGTTTTACGAAATCCTGTACTTGTTATCTAATAAAGATAATTAAACATTACAAAACTAGTAATTCTTATATAATAAGTATCCTAAATCTTAAATAACGAGTTACTCTATTGTCTATTTGTTTAAGTTATGTGAATTATTTTAGATGTTTCTTCTTTTAAATCTCCAATTAAGTATTACATTATGTAAGACTATATATATTAATTTTGAAAATTAAAAGCTAAGGGGGGCGAATCTAATTAAATTATGAAAGTTTTATGAAAATATTACATATATGGTAAAAAAAATTGAATGTCCAAGGGGGGCGGTCGCCCCCCCGCCCCCCCCCTAAATCCATCCCTGACTCCAATCATGACTCTATTTAAAACCTTGATATGGACTAAAGAATAAATATATAACGAATGATGATGGATAATTTAATAGTCATTTATGAGATACAAATTTGTAATTGATTGTGGTTAGTTCATAATATAAAACATTATATTCAACTTTGGATTATATGAATAGTTCACAATATTTATAAGTATTCCGTATTTTTTATTTTAACTCTAATCGAATTGGCGTGCTACCGGGACATTGCCCCGAACTTTACACTAGTAGAATATGAAAGCCTTCCCCATTTAGGAAAGCCAAACATTACCTTATTAACTCTTTCCCCATTTATATTAGACACTAATTTGTTTGAGAAGATCAATTGTTAACCACCCGACAATTCTGCCGGACTTCACCTTGAGGTCCTTCTTTAACATTGAGCCTTCCCATCTTCACCATGGCTTGTTGGAAATGGAAGAAGAACATTGCCTGGTTCATAGCATAGCTGTTGACAATGCTCCGAGTAGCGGGATCGGCGAACAATGTCTGGTCGGAGAAGAGGACGCCTCTCTTTCCCCACAGTGCATTGAAATAGTCGTTGTCGAATGTGTTCCTCGTTGAATCGAAGGGTTGCTCGGCACTGTCTCCGGCACTGCATGTTCGAGACAGGGTCTCCGCAAACCTGCCGTCGATAGTGGGGTCCACAGCATGCGTCCGGTCAAAGCTGCTCAACCGCTGCTTGAATGATGCGCACCTCGCTGCTCCCAAGCTATGGGCGCCTGCACATGATGTGAAATTTGTGATTTTTCTGCGAGTGTTGTGGCCCTTAAGTGCACTTAGGAGTAGTTTGTAACTATGTTGCACGGAAACCTGAAAATTATGGGGGAAATGAGAAACAAGAAACGACAATTTCTGTTAAAAATGTTTGTTTGGAGAGTTTTCAAAGAGTTTGTGTAGAATTTTCGAAATGAAGAGATACAATTTCCTAAGAGTTTCTGTGCTACATAAGTTGGTAACGCTGAATAAAAGAAATTGGATTACAAATTCCCTTTTCCATTTAAAACGAAATCGGCTTGATGGAATTCCCAATCAGCCTGGCATTATATGAACATTACTCTCTCTCCTCTCTATATTAGGTGCAAATGTGCAATTTAAATAAAAATGTTCAATGTTTGAAATACGAAGATTTTTACTTTTACAACGCTATACTACATTTTTATGTTCGTAGAAAACATCACTTTTTTACAATGCATTGACGCATTTCTTCTTCAAAAAGTTCACTATGAAAGTGCGGTATAGATAAATATGAGTGCAATTCAAACATTCCAACATTAAGAACTTTTAATTTATCCAAACTATATACGTAGTACAGAGTATATAGATACATACATGCAAGTACTAGTATATAATTATGCGTCTGATACTAGGGGTGGATTCGGGTCGGGCCACCCAGCCCGGTTCTTGGGTCCGGGTCCGGGCTCAGGTCTTACATTTGGCGAACCGGCCCGGTCGGGTCGGGCCCAGATCCGGGCCAAATTGATTTTTTTTAATTTTTTAATTTGGGGTTCCACCCGGGTTGGGCTTGATAGTTAGGAGGGGTTTGGGGGGGGGGGGGGGGGGTAGGAAAGCAAAAAAAAAAAAAGACCAAATCGGATGCCCGGCCCGGACCCGGTGGCTACCCGGGCCGGTCCCGGGTCCACCAATTTTGAACTGCCGGCCCGCCCGGGCCTAGGCCCGACCCGGCCCCGGCCCGAATACACCCCTATCTGATACTCGTTTCTTGGCAATGGAAACTACACATACTATAAATTGAAATAAAAAAGATGTGATGAAGATAACTTTTTCCTCATCTTTTGTTGATTTGAGAATATAATATTCAAAAATTGATTCACATTTTGTTAAATATTATATGATGATATTATAGTAGATGTATGACCCTTGATTCACATTTGTTAAATATTACTAGTATGATGATGTTAATATATTATAGTTGATGTATAACAGTACAAGTGTGTAACCCTGCCACCCCGTTAATGAATATTTCTGATAAGGGGTGTTTGGATTAGATATAGAAGCATATTGAAGGGTTTGTCTGAAAATATAAATAAATTAATTTTCCAAATGCTCTTAAAGCAATATTTTAGAAGTTGAGGAAGACACCTTGTAACAAAGTGATTCTAGAGCAAGACTAAGGGAGTGTTTGCAACTGCTTCTGCTTAAAAAAAAGTGCTTTTTCTAATGAAAGTTGGAAAAGTGATGAATTGTAAAAGTTGATAGTGTTTGGAAAATAAGTGATTTTAGAAAAGGTGTTGAAATTGGAGTGTTTGGTAAAAAAGTGATTATTGATGTAGTTTTTAATTAATGTACAAAAATGCCCTCTCTCGTTAAACCTTTATCACTTCCCCATATTTCGTTTCATCCCCATTCCTTCCACGCAGAGCATCGGAAATGGCGACTCCAAGACGTCGAAGAGCACAACTAGGGTTGGCTAAACCAGGTCCTTCGAAACCAGGTACGTTAGATCCGAACCCTGACTCCATTTTACACTCATATAGTTAGGTGCTATTCAAGCGACGCCCCGTCAAATAACGGAAGGGTTCCAGAACGAGAGCTTTGAAGATGAAGCCAATGGTGGTAGACTTCTTCATTGAGACGAATGAGATGGGATCAACCATGGCGATGGATGTAGATGACGCCGAGATATTTGGCGAGGGTCCCCTCGGCGTCACTGCCGAGCACCTCCGCCTTGCAGATGCTGATTTTTTCAACTCCTTTGAAGATTATTTCGACGACTCCGACATCAACTGAAATGGGTTTTTAGTGAATTTAATCCCCTTGCTGCTAAAACATTCCTATTGTTTACTGTCTATCGTGCTTATGAATAGTTGAATACCAGCTGCTTCTACAGATGAACTAATAGGAAATTGACAAAGTAAAATTCGATGTTGTTAATTGTGTGATTCAACTGCGAGATTCTTATTTTCAGAAGTGGTTGTGAGTAGGGTTCAATTTAGGTAATTACTAGGTGAAAACATTGTGTGTTTGGTTATAAAAAAAAAGTTAGGTCCTATTCTTTGATTGAGCTTTGTCCTTCAAACGCACAAAAATTCCGGAGGGTTGAAGTTTCTCGTATCAAGACCGTTTCCGAACGGAGAATACGCGTCCCCCTCCAACAAAAAAAAAACAGAGCTTGAACATTTTTTTGACCAATTCTCCTCTCGATAAGCTGCTGCAATTTGGGTCTTCTTTCCTTTGCTGGAGTTCTAGTCTTTGCTACTGCACTATGCTAGAAGTCCGCCTCTCTAATTAAATGGCAATTCAACAATATAATGTCATCATGGTCTAAGTTTATACAATTACTAGGATGATTTGCAATCTAATTTATAAGCATTTATTTAATTTGTCTTCTTTTATTCATGACATCGACCATTAACGTTGCATTTTGACTGTGAGATTTCTACAATGGACTTTCTTTAGAGTGATAGAAGTACAGAATACATCCAATGGTAAAGCAAAGTTTCGTTACTAACATTTTGAATTGGTACATATCTTTGGGCAAAAAAGCTTACAGAAAACATAGTTTCTAGATGTTTTGGTCATACTTCAGTTTTAATTTGGATGGTAAAATATGCCTAAATCTATTAATGTTGAAATTGATATGCTGGAGTACCATTACAATGTGAAAATCCATTTATTGTATTTGTTTTGTGACTAAAAAAAGAACTAGGAAGCCGAACCAACTTGATATTTGGTGTATTCTCAAACATTTCTCCATGATGAGAATTGAGAAATTTGAGCATATGTTAGTTTATCGAATGACGTGTATTGCTATTTTTTGAACACTATGGACTTCTAAAAATATTTGATCATTATACATGTCCTCTAATTGAATAGGTATCACCAAGATGCACCATAATGCTAGAGTCGATGATATGTTCGCAATGGTGACTTGGACAGAAAATGAAGAAAAGTTTCTTATTCAAATGCTTCTCGACTTTCAGAAAAAAAAGATGTTGCTTAGTGGTGTTGCTTATGATAAAAATGTTCTACAAGAGATTGCTTCTCTTCTAGTAAAGGCATTTCAGAAACCTTTCTGCTATAGGAAAATCTTAAAAAAATGTGATTCATTGAAAGCCACATACAATTTGTGGCATACTGTTAACTATTGGCCAGGGGTGACCTTCAATGTTCGTGAAAATACTTTTGAAGCAAACGCTTCAACTTGGGATGCCATCATACAGGTACTCTAGAGAACTAAGTTATTTATATCATTAAAGAAATAAAATATAGCTAGTTAAATACAACTTGTGATGTAATATACAGGAGCACCCACATGCAAAAAAGTTCAGGGATGCACCTGAACCTAAGTGGTTCGAACTTTATGGGATTTTTGATCCTATGCGTGTAGCAGCTGAAGAGAAAAAGTTCAATGACTCTTGCTACTTTAAAGAAACACCCAGACCTGAGGAGGAGGAGGACGAGGACGAAGGTGCATATGTGCGGGATGAACAGTCATTTGTCGCACCACCCGAGTATCTTGTGCCACTACCCGGTTCATCTAAATATGCGGGCAAAAGCGAAATGGAAATTTGGCAGGCCCAATTTGATGAGGAACTTGGCATTGAAGTGTCAGCAATGTCTTCTGTTGGTTCATCGATATGGCCATGAATCAAACTAGCGTGGATCTTTATGTATTCGACTAAGGTATCATATGTATGAAATGAACGTCTTTAACCACATTTTGTGATTGCCTAACTTTATGGCTATCAAATATTTTGCTCATCCGGATTGGTATGGTTGTATTAGACGTCGTTGTATGTAATTACGCTTATTTAGGAAGATGATGTTGTACCTAAAAAACCTATTTCCAACAATGTTTGGATATTTTGTTTATGTTTGGCAACTGAATGTTATTGTACGGTTTGTTATTAAAAAAAAGTTTAGCAATGCAAGAGAAAGATGCAAGTGCATATTACTCTCTGTCTTACAGGCACTTGTGAGTACTACATTATTTGGAAATGTATTACCTCAAAACTTTATGCATTGATGTACCCAGTATCAACTAAATTGCTCTTTCAGTTAAGTAGCTTGTCTTTGAGGACATAATATTTTACTCTAGTTGCTCTCGGCCAGTTAGTATGGGTTATACAACTTATATGGTCTAATTAGAGGATATTGATTAGGGGATACTTTAATTTGGCAGATTTCGGGTTTACAAGTTTGGATTAATACGGTATACTATTCTACATAATGTGATTAAAGTTCGCATACGATAAATTAATAACATTTGGATACAAACAACCCTTGTATCATAGGAATACCAATAGTTTCCAAAATTATATTAATGTAACCTTAATAACTCAATCAGACTAATACGGAGGAATACCAAATCTTCCAAACATTATCGATGCACATATGTCATCTCTCAGTTTATTCATACCTTCATCGATCTCAGGAAATTGCACCTCGTCCAAGGTGTCGTCTTCTTCATCGCCACTGGATGAAGTTGCATGTTCTGCTTCATAAAAGTCATCATCACTAGGATCATTCTTTCGAATAAAATTGTGAACAGCCATGGTCGCAGGTACAAGACATATTTGATCATTCCAACTTATATTGACTGGCATGGATTCCATTATTTGGAATTTCTTTTTCCATACACCAAATGATCGTTCAATCACTGAACGCAATGATGAATGCACATGATTAAATACTTCATACTGGTTATTGTAAGATGCCGCCCTTTTGAAGTCGGGTATGTGATACTTGTTCCCCTTATATGGAGATAAAAACCCCTTGACAAATTCCCAGAATAAAAAACTGTGTGACTCTTTAGGAATCACAAGATTTAATCAGGTATGTTTCAGATTTCCTTTCTTCAATTGGAATAAAAATCGAAAGAGAACAAAGAAAAAAGACTTGAGCAGAAGAATGAATGGATTGAAAAACAATAAGCAAATCAATTACGGGATTGGAACAGAAAATTAAGCCGAACAGCTACAGATCAAAGAAACAACGAGCAAATTTGTCAAGCAGAAGAATGAACGGATTGAAAAACAAAAACTCCATTTCATACTAACCTTGAGCAAATCAACAGCTATGGATCTTCAACTTCAGTTCGGTGGCTTCCCAACTTCATTAGCGGCAACGCAGATAGACGGAGAAAGTGCTGCAGGGTTGGGGAGAGCTTGCTTCGTCGATAGGGAAGATCGATCTGTAGAAGGAAAGAGAGAAGGGCATTAATGTATAACAACACATATTAATGTTATAAATGCCCTTCAAGTTTTTCAGAATTACCAAATTACCAAGCTTTAGGAAAAGCTGCTTCCAGCTTTTCGAACGGTGAAGTGGTGTTTTGCAAACACCCAAAATGACTTCTGCTGCCAAAAAAGCCCAAAAGTGCTTTTGAGAAGCATTTGCAAACAATGCTTAAGAGAGTGTCTGTGATTACTTCTACTACAAAAAAATGGTTTTTTTAAGGAAAATGGAAACTAATAATCCAACCTTTTAGCGGTCTTCTTTCAATAATCCCACCTTTTGATTATTCATGAATAATCAAACCTTTGCACCTCATCTTCATTCATTGGTCCCTGGTCAGTTAATGACCTACTATTCCAAGTTATTTTCTTATCTTTGCAAAATATTATCTTTGTGAAAGATGAGATTTATGGTATAATGAATTGCAAAGATAACAAAATAGCTTGGAATAGCACGTCATCAACCGGTCAGGGACCAGTGAATGAAGATGAGGTGCAAAGGTTGGATTATTCATGAATAACCAAAAGGTTGGATTATTGTAAGAAGACCGCTAAAAAGTTGGATTATTAGTTTCCATTTTCCCTTTTTTTTTAAAGTGATTTTGGAGAAAGTACTTAATAGTTAAAGTTGCTAATGTTTGATAAAATATGCTTCTGAAAAAGTAAAAGTTGGTGGTGTTTGATAAAATAAGTATTTTTTTCCATTCTACAATGTTTACAGCCCGCCCCGGTCACAGTGTCACAGTTTGATACAAACCCCGGTCACTGTACAATTGTCACTGTAGTGATGTCACTATAAAATCGTCACTGTAGCACAAGTACTGTAGCGCCGTTACTGTAGCGGTACTGTTAGTTTTCAGTCACATTTTTGGAAAATTAAATAAAAGGTCACTTTTTGTCAAATACTACGTATCCACTTATTTGTAATATTCAAGGCAAAATCCCAAAAGAGAATAGCAGCTTAAAGCATCCTTCCACATACTTTCAGATTTCAGTTTTTAATTACTTTATTTACGTAGAAACTATCACTTGAAAACACTCATTTAGTCATTTCAATTTCTTTTAATTTAACTCAAAACCTGAAACCCACTTTTTTTTATAGCAACCACTCCTTAAAAGTTAAACTCCATTCCGGCACTTCTTAGTAGCCGGCCGGCAAGCAACTCAACAAACTTTGACTGAGATTTTTTCCGGACTGCACTAGTGGATAACATTGGTGGTGGCAGACAATTGAAAAAGAATGTAAAAACCATTACTATTATTCCGTAGGATTTTGGTACCTGACAAGGCTACCATTTCTTGAACCGTGAAGCCACGCTGCCTAAGCATGCTGATAAGCTGAGAGCTGTTGAGAGTGGGAGATGGTAGATTTCTAGTGTCTTCTATTCTTGACCTTTTTCCATCTTTTCTGCCTTTGGGTATTTCATAAACTGGACCTCCAGCCTAGTCAAATGAAGTACTACCATTTCTAGTAAGCATGCCATACAAAATCAATAATACTCCGTATCTATTTAGTTGTCTCACTTTCCGTTTTGGGACGTATTAAATTAATTGTTCGATCCATTCCCTTTTTGAAAAGAAACTCACTCAAAAAGTAGTTACAGTACCGCTACATTACTGCTACAGAACCAAAAAACTTTTACTTTTCATATAATCTACAGTAATTATCTTAAAATACGTAAAAAGCAAACGAGTCAATTAATTAGATACGGAGGGAGTATGAACTATGAAGTATGTAGGACTATACATTACAAATTAGTGTCTATCCTTAAAAAATACCGTCAGTTATGACATTACTACTGCTATACTAATGCTTAGTCAATGGTCATGCCAAAATGTAGAAGTATAATTTAATGACAACAATAATTTATTCATATTTCGGGAAGAACACAATATTACAATAATTTTGAATTACTCATTGTTTTATTTCTGGTACGGAAATTCTCCGAAAATCAATTGATCAAATTTAAATGTATGGTTAATAGAGTCCGCCTAGGAGGTTTATACTTGGATTGAAATTTGATGGTCAGGTCCGTGTATTCTATAACTATGGATGTCTCGTCTAGTGTTGTCTTGTCGACTAGTCTGATCTATTTAAGGCTGGTCTGTGATTGATAATCGTCCAAGTAAAAGACTTGTTCTATCCTATCCTAATTTAAACGTCATAAAGACAAAGAGTACATAGTACATACAAAGAAGACGGCATCTCGGGCAGCCATAGCAATAATATCAGCACAAGAAACAACTCCGGGGCATTGCTTCTCAAGCTCTTCCTTGGCCTCATCAATAACTTCATACCCTCTTAAGCTCAAGTTGGCCGGCGAGTCCTTTTCTGCCTTATTCTTCTGACTTGAATCTATCAATACAGATGCATCGCACCCCTACATTCATCAATCAAAACAAAACATTTTAGTCATTTTTTTACTTGGGTATTCTTTTATTTGGTTCCATTTTTCTTATTTGGGTGTTCAAAACCTTTGCAACTTTAATTTCCCTTACAAGTGATAGATATAAGTGATAGATTTATTACTAATTGCTCAACTATTTCCCTCATCAGTAAAATATGAACATTAAACTATGATACAAGATTTACGTTTTATATTATTAAGGTGAAACATCTGGTCTCAATATTAATACTAGTATTATTTTTGTCTTTTGAGAAAATCGGAATGACATATAGTTTATATTATTGTCTCCTTTCCCTCAAAAAAATATATTATTGTCTCCTTATTCAATCAAATTTAACCAAATTTGTATGATGGAGGGAGTGTTTTTTTAGTTACGTTCCACCAAATATAGCACTTCGTTTGAAGCTTGGTCGAATACATGTATGCATGCGCGCATACACACCATATACGTAGTATATGTTACTACCTCCTTACTAAATTAATTGTTTTGTTTGCTTTAGCGCACATTAATAAAGTGGTCGAAAGATAACAGATGTGATTGTGGTTTGAACAAAATAACATGACATGACGTGGATTGTATTTTTATAAAAAGAAAACATGACAATTATTTTGGGATGTCCTAAAAAGGGTACTGGAGCATTTGTTTCGGGACAAAGTGAGTACATTGTTATGTTGTTTTTTTGTTTTTAAAGAATTTACCTAAATATGAGGAAAAACGAGTTAAACGAGTATCACAAATAAAGGTACTGTGTAGTATTTTCTTTTATTCAATTCTAAATTAATATAATAGAAGTAAAATATTGTATGTCATCCTCCATTAATCATACTGCTATATTGTGAATTGTGATTATAACTTAAGGATAAGGCCGGTGACCTCACTATATATATGACAATAGTACAATACTACTAACTCATTTTGTTCACCTCCTCATTTGGAGGGTGAACATAACCCTCAAGTATTTTAATATTAAAGGTACATCATATTGTCTTTTTCTCCCATTATGCCCATTCTCTTCTATATATATGTAGGAGTATATACGTATTAGGGAGTTTGTAGCTTGGTTTTAGAAATGACATCTAGGATGTGAGGTCACTTTAATTTGTAACCATATCCTTTTAATTTCTTTCTCCTTATTTTGTTAAAGTGTTAAACCATACGAAGTATCATTTCTACCCCCATCTTCTCAGTTTCAAAATTCCAGACATCCATATTTAGGGTTCTATTGAATATGGATTGTGGTAGACCAATGGACTTTTAAAAAGTTAATAGACTTTTAAATTCATATTTTAAAAAATCAATTCTATTGACTTTAAAGTCATGGATAAATTTATAGACTTCAAAATGTCCATGATTTTTTAAATTCAGACTGTCACTGCCTATTGTAATTTTTTTTATCTAAATCGTCGCTACTGATTTGGTTTTCCACCTCCGTCACCCGAGATTGCCGCCATCGTGATTGGACTGATCCGCCACAAATCAAATAACTTTGATTATGCAAGAGAATTAGGGGAAATTAATTATACGTAGTATATATTAATTAGGGAAATTTGCAATTTTCATCCCATAACTTTGGGCTGTTTCCATTATTAGTCTCGTAACTTTAGTCACTTGCAAAGTTGGTCCTGTAACTAATTAATATCTACCATTTAAGGACTTTTTCTCTGAAAGTTTCACTGTAACAAATCAAAATTTAATGTTCAAATCTTGTATATTGAGACCATCTTGGTACCTACCTCCTGACCAAACCGGTACTAGTTTAGGACTTGTTGATCGATTTGTGATTCCGGGTAAATAATTAGCCTAATCTGCAACTAGATCTATGCGTACTTGTGATGAGTAGAAGATAACACAAAAGTACATGGAATTCTTCGGTGAGGAGAAGTAAAGATTGCATAAATTAATGTACTAAGAATGAGTTAAATTTTCATGAGAATCCATGAATTTAGAAGTCAATAACAATGAGCGAAAATTTGAATACACCTAGACTTTTATAGTTTTTAAAAATTTACACCAAATACAACTAGACTTTTGTAGACTTTTAGAAGTCTACATCGAATACTTTAAACTTTTACTCCCTACTATATATTGAAATTCAGTTCACTATAATACTACGAGAACTTTTCTTAACGTCAGAATTAGCTGAATCTGTTAAAATAAAATATGTTTGAGGCGGTTCAATAAGATGAATATACTAAATTATTTAAAAAATATTTAAAATATACTTTATGCGATTAATTTTGTTAAAATCAAGATAAGAATTTGTATTACGAAGTATATACGATAGTCTCTGCCAAATTTAAAAGAAAAACGTTTTGCATCGTTAAATTAAAAAAAATACTTCGTCATAATAAAAATCCTTGCAAAAGCAAATGCGGAATAAAGATGTTTTTACTTGGACTGTAATTTGTCTCAGACAAGACCAGATCAGACTTGAATAATTATAAAAGTACAAAGAACCAGACCTGACCAGTTCAGACTAGATCAGATCAGATCTAAGCAGATCAGACCAGCAAATTACAGTTCAAATAAATACTTCTTCACATATGCAAGCCTGTAAGTCTGTAAGAGTGTAAGGTACTCCTCCGTATAAAACTAAAATGGCCCCCACTACCCCACTATATGTCTAATCTAAATGAGTACACTACTACTCAATACGAAAGATGCCTAGTTACCAATTAAAGAAGGGAAATCGGTATACTTTTAATATTAAAAAATTAGAGGGTTATGTTCACCCTCCAAATGGGAGGTGATCGAACAAAATTAAACTCCTTATTTATAGTTGTTACAAAGATGGAACCCCAGAAGACATGGCCTTACCTGGATGAAACAATCATGGAAGTGCATCCTAAGAAGAGAAGCAGCAAGGGTACGTAGGGTCGTTCTCCAAATGTTTATTCACAATGTTTTTAACAATGAAATCAGCCAAGGGGCAATCCATCATATAGTAATCCATTCTCAGGCGACCATCCACTCCCACTCCATTATTCACGACCATCATTATCACAATCATAATGAAGATCATCCCTAGATGATGATGATCATGATGACCATGATCATCATACTTGGCCTCCTTGTTTTCCATCAGAATACCTACGCTAGCTAGCTAGTGAAAGCCAGGAGTTCAATTTGCAGCTAAGCAGCAAGAAATAAAATATTGAAACAATATATATTGGCTAGTGAAGTGAAAAGAAATGGATTACTTAATAATATATGCACTATAAATTGGTATTTATAAGTAAGAGCTTAAAGAATATGGGAATGTGTTAGAAAATATGAGGTATTGAGGTATATCTGTTTTTATTCAAGTATGCACTCGAGTATAGTCTAGAGTAGACACTACACCGGCCAACCCCAACATTAACACAATGCCCCAAAGGCTCCCCCGTATTATCGTACGACGTAGTATATTAAACCATTCCGAAGGCCGGAATTATGATGAAAATCGTGTTGAAAATCATGGGCTGACTGATGCTTCGTAACAAAGAAGCACATGCAATTTAATTAGTAAGTCTGTTTTATTCCATCATATTCTTAAGCCAAAAATAATGAGTCTTTAGCTTCATTGAAAATGATGGAAAAGTCTAGAGTAGACAATCAAAGTTAATTAAATTGCTTCCTCTCTAGCTAACTTCCCTATTTGTACCACTCGATTGTTAGAATATCTTTCTTCTTGGTTTCTTTTAAATATATACCAGTTTTTCACTCGTGCGTTACACAACATAAAAAATTATTAACTTTATTTGATAGTAATTTTAATTATTTTTTTGTAATGACATAAAATTTGATAATAATATTTGACAATTATTTGATAATAGCATTAGCCTGTCAATTTAAATTAAAATATTCTCATTTTTATTTAAGATAAAATTGGTAAAGGCATCTTTGTACACCACATTTGGTGTAGAGTTTGTCGATCTACCATTGTCATCACATTTAATAAAATTTAAACTAATCGGTGATAAAGACCTCTTTGTACAACACATTTATATTGCATGCCGAGTCCTCTGTTATACTTAATGGAATCGCAAATCTCGAATGTGTAGTCTTTCCTCCAAGCAAGAGAAGTTGCCTATAGAATATACTCTCCGTCCTGTTAAAATTATCCCATATTTCCTTTTTGGCTCACCCCACTATGATTCTTTCATATCAAATTTGATAAAATTTACGTGGTTCTAAAACATTCTTACTTTATTTTGTTTTATTGATTAATTCAATATCAACCACGTAAACTCACTTTTCCTAGTAAGTGTGTCACATCCTCATGTTCCAATGTTAGTGGAACATAGATAGTCTATATTGATGCTTGTTGTTTGCATAAACATCGAAAATAACTATCCTATTAGTGGTTTTGTTCATATATATGGTAATTCTTTTCTCAATTTCATGTTGGTCCTTTGTGTTCACCATGTGCGTGATGGCTATTTCAGATCACATGATTTAGCTCTCAAGGTGTGGCGAATGAGTAAATTGAGAGTCTGTAATGCAATCTAAGAATAGAGAAGAAAGTAGAGTTTCATGAAGATCATAAAAGAGAAGTTCATTGAATAGGCAAAATATGTACAAACTATGAGCCCGTTTGGTAGCACCAAAATCGGCTGTTTTGGCTGATTCTGCTGAAATTTATGATATTCTGGCTGGAGTGGCTGTTTTGGCTGATTCTGCTGATTTAAGAAAAAAATATTTTAAAAATATATTTTATTAATAAATTAAAGAAAAAATTATATGTAAAAATAGCTAAAATGGTCCTCTACAGTAACTTCAGCCAATACAGCCAGAAAAGTAACTCCAACCTTACTTTTTCGGCTTATTACACAATTCAGCGCGCGAAAGTAAAAGTTACGTGTTTGGTGAAAAAGCTGGCTGATAAGCCTGATAAGCCGAAAACAGAGTTCTCCAAACGGGCTCTATATCTATCGGCTTATATTTATAGCTGAGGTAGATATTAACAGACTAACTACTACTGAATAGTGTTTTAACCGTTTCTAACCAACGCTATTATATAAGTAATCTATATCAATAACCATTGAAAAAAATTCCTCATATAGTTTTCTCTTCTTAAATCAGGTCTAAGCAAAAGAGCATTTTTCCAATCGAAGTGTCATATTTAGAAACACATAATAGTGCCTATAAACCCCGTTTCATTTAGAAGCAATCAATAAAATTTTGAGGAGGTAAATATTTGTACGGATGCTACAAAACCAAATCATTTATTTACTTGTCATTAGAAGCAGATCGACCTTGTGCCGATTATAAAACTCGTCAAATATAATGTCAATTATTTGCCTTGAACTTGTATGAGAATCAATGATTCTAGTTTAACACATCTCTGATTCTTCCTAAATAGAATTAGATCTAGTGGTCGTTTTAATGTGTTGTTGAAATAATAGGCTAAGAAGTCAGTCAAAATCTACAGATCCCGAGTGGACCAGGTTGAACTCAAGCTAAGTTATGAAAAACGCGGGCTGAAATGCTGAATATATATAATAAAACGGCTAGTCATATTTGGAGACATTTTATGTTTTAGATCAAGGGAAAATTGTGAATTTTAATTTGGTCCTTATATTTTCATGAAAAAGTCAATTACGTTCTCATACTTTTAAAAAGATCAATCAAATCCCGAACTTTGTAAAAACGTTCAATTGAGTCCATTTGCAGGTTACTTGTCATGCCCGCAAGTCACCCGTTGACGTGGTACACACATGGCTGACTGGACTTCCACATGTGTGCCACGTCAACAAAAATATTGTTGATTGGGCTATCACTTGTGCGCCACATCAACAGGTGACCCGTTGGCATGACAAGTAATCTGCAAATGGATTCAATTGAATGTTTTTACAAAGTTTGATGATTTAATTGATCTTTTTAAAATACAAGATTTTAATTGACTTTTAAATGAAAGTATGAGGACTAAATTGACAGTTTTCCCTTAAATCAATATCTCTAATAAACAGGAACATGACACAACTAACCATTTTGTGAGGCAAAACCGTTTGGTTTTTCAGGTTTTTAAAAAGTAATCTTTTTTTTGCTCAAAATGGGTATGTAAAAACAGAACTTTTATTATGAAACCTGACACTTCGCAAATAAGTCACATAAAATTATTCATATATATTCATATGAATATATGAATACTTGTTTTGAAGTTCTTCATTTGCATGTGAGCTCATGCCAAATCACAAAGCAGACTACATTTTGTTTTCAAGAAGTGATTAGATATGAATTCCATCATTTGTGACTAATGGAACTAAAATCTCACTATTTTTTTTACTTGAGAATATAATAGAATAAAGAGAAAAGGCTCACTAAACTGTCTGTGTTTCTTTGTTATGAAGCAGCAGTCTGTCTATACTATTTTGGACGCGATTTTCATAGGGGTAAGACTGCGTACATCCGACTACCCTTTAACCCACTGCAGGTGGAGCCTTTGCGGCACAGGGCTGATGATGAAGTGATTAGAAATAACTCGTTGTTATATTTGGTCCTTTATCTGAATCTTTTTATAGGCATTGTTTTGCCTTTGTTTCTTATATAGCAGCAATACATGAAGTAATGTAGATGTTAACCAATCGAATATAGCCCTAAAATGTGAAGAAAGCAAGGTTGTACTTCTAATGTGTAATGTATCCCATAAGTGAAGAGGGAAAGAACTGAGTTTTTCAAGAAATGGTGGTTGACCTTCTATGACCATCTAGCTAGATATGTTGGTTGAGCTGAATTTAATAAGTCATTTTGATTCATTCCATCATATTTCAGATAAAAAAACAGTAAGTTTTCATGTGTAAACATTAAATAAGGAAATTATTGGTGTTAGATAATAACTTAAACTTTCAGATAAGGACAAATTTAAATTGTTGACCTCGCTCGGAATGAGCCAATGAAAAAGCTTTACGACTCAACCTTGTAATAAAGATATTCAAACGATTCAGGAAATAAAATGAAAAAAAAAATATGCTCAAGGAAGAGAAAAGAAAATAAACAATTCAAATGCTTTAATTTGGAATCATTGAGATTCAATGCCCAAGAATTATATCTATAATTTAAGTGTTTAGACAAAAATGAAATCAATTTTAGCGGAGGTGGCAATTCAATTCTTCACATTCTTCATACTTAAAGGTAATTACTTGATATAATGAAATAAAGCTCTTTAAAAGATTTTGTTCTTAGAGCCCGTTTGATAGCACGAAAATCTGCTGATTTGGTTGATTCTGCTGAAATTTATGAAGTTCTGGCTAAAGTGGTTGCATTGGCTGATTCTGCTGATTCAAGAAAAAATTATTTTTTAAATATATTTTATTAATAAAATAAAGAAAAATTATATGTAAAAATAGCTAAAATAAACATCTACACTAATTTCAGCCAATATAGGCAGAAAAGTAACTTTAACCTTACGTTTTTTGCTTATTTACACAATTCAGCGCGCAAAAACATAAATTGCTCGTTGGGTTGTGTAATAATAAGAAAAAGTGAGGTTGAAATTATTTTTCTAGTTGTATTGGGTGAAGTAACTATGGAGAATCATTTTAGTTGTTTTTTATACGAAGTATATTTTTTGTATTTAAATACTAAAATATATTTTAAATATTTTTTTTCTTCTGTAAATCAACAGAATCGGCCAATCCATCAACTTTAACCAAACTCTCATAAATTTCAGCAAAATCAACCAATGCAGGCGATTTGGGTATTACCAAATGGGTCCTAAAACATAATTTTCTTTCAAAAATAGGATTATATATTTAGAGCTCATTTGGTGGCCATGTTTTTCGACTTATCAGACTTATCAGACAATTTTTTCACCAAACGGGTAACTTTTAATTTCGCTCTCTGAACTATGTAATAATATTATAATAATAGAAAGTAAGATTGGAGTTACTTTTCTGGTTGTATTGACTGAAGTTACTATAGAATATTATTTTAGCTATTTTAGCTATCCAGTCAATCCAGCCAAAACTTCATAAGTTTTTGCAGAATCATCCGATTAAGCTAATGTTGATATTACTAAACGGGCTCTTACTTTTCCTTAAATAAGACTAATTATTTCCTTTGTATTTATAATTTTATTAATTATTTAATCTAATTAATTGTTCCCTAGTTTCCTTAATATACAACTTATTCAGTTGGTAATGGGATTATTCCGTGGTGGCGGCAGTAGATTCCAAGCGATGGCGTCACAATTTTGGCTGGTCGGCGGAAAAATCCAAGGAAAATATTCCGATGGTCGGCGATTAGGCGATTTGGGGGTAGTCGTGATCTAGCTTTTCAGA